TCCAGCCTGGAATTTCTTTTTAGGCAGCTGATGTCAATCCTACATTAATTTTTACAAATGGATGTTTTAGGTTTTCTGTGCAGAATACCCATCCCAAAAAGAGTTATGTGAGAAATTACAATTTTCCCTTTCAGATTTCATGCTTGTGGCTAAGATCTCATTGGAGTCACGGTTGTTCAGATTATACTGCATAATAGCTAAGTACAATATCCCATTCACCCCCTTTAAAGTCCAATCCAGGAGAAAGTCTGTTGTGTCAGCATAGAACTGTGGGGTTTGGTCTTTCTTTTTCATTACTGCCTCCTCCCAGGAGAAGAACAAATGGCTTTATCTACTTCTGAGCCTTATTCCTAGACAGATATGGCAGGATATTCTGCATTGCTTTTTGCCAACCAGTTGTCCATAGTTATGACTGCACAGACAAGTAGCACCAAGTCAGTTTTTTAAATCTAATTTTGTTACACTGCAACCTTCATTTGGCTTAATAAAGTACTTAAGTAGAGCTGTTTTCCTTAAAAAAGAGCTGCTTCCTTCCTGGAATTTGATGTAGTTGTATTTCAAATGTAAAGTATTAAGTGGAACAAAATGGCACAATTTTGAGTGTGAACTAAGATGCTGTGTGTGATTGGAAATTTTTTATTGCTAATCTGCTGAGCTCCTGTTCAAAGCTCACAGTCTTCACCCGACACTCACAGAACCAAGCCTCATTGTGCAAGTTCTTCTGATACTGTTTTAAATCATAAGGTGAAGAAAATGAAGTACACACAAGTGGAACTGCCATCTCCTCAGGAGAGGCACTCATGCTGTGGTTTTGTGAGAGCCTTTTTCACCTGGTACTTGTGAGCAGGGGCTGAGCTGGCCCCAGCAGGGGAAGAGCCTGGGCTTGTGCTGGGCATCACAGCAGGGCAGGTGTGTGGGGATGGACAGAAGAGAAGCTGGGCTGCACCAGTGTCTGTGTCACTGTCTGTGCTCCCCTTCGCAGGGGTGCAGGACCCCACCTCAGCTTGGAATTACCAAGCAACCAGTGAAGCACAAAATTATGTCACTTGCTTCAAAGAATGAGAAAGGGAGCACTGCACGCTTTCTTAATTGGCTTTTCTTTCCTTTTTTATTTCTTTTCTTTCACATTGAGACGAGAACTAGAGAGGACAAAGTGTTAAGGGTGAGGAGATTAGAGAATACTGGCTACATTTTTAGTGTGGTGGGACGATGTATTTTTGTAGTGTTAATGCAGTGCTAGATAGAGAAAGGAAGTGGGGAGCTGGGAAAGGATCCCCTCCTTAGCTTGGCATTGTGGTGGTGCTGGAAATCAGAAATCAAGTAATAGGATTTCACTGTCTGGATCAGCCTCTGGCTGTCTGCAGTATGTTCAGGAAATCACTTCCCATCTCTGCTTCCATTTCCTTGGCTGTCAAATGAACACAGCGATAGCTGCCTCCTCTGAGTGCTCTGGCTGCATTAGAGCAATAAAACATTGGGGAGGAAGGAGTCAGAGGTGTGATTTATGAATCCAGCAAGGTCAGGCTGAGCTGCCTGTGAACAGCTGAAGAAATCACAGAATGAGGGGAGAGTTTCCTGAAGCTGAGCAGATGCTGGTGTCCATGCCCAGGACTGCCCAAGGAACTGAAGCAAATCTCTTCAGCTCTGTCTGAACAGGGGCAGCTAAAAACAAAGTGGTTTTCTTTCTCTTCCATGATGCTTTCTTCAAGCATTTGGTGCCATTGGTTTTTTTTCAGAAAGAGGTTTTGCTTGTTTAGTTCTTCTGTGTGGATGTTTTATTAAGATGCTCTGCATGGGTGTTTCCCTACATATAACTACTTATAACATGATTTTATACGTGAAGGCAGTAAAGTAAAACAATTCAATGAGATAAGATACTGAGATAAACTATGATGAGGAATGTTTATACACCATAAGAGTCTCCTAAATTTGATAACCATCAGTTCAAGCCAATATACCCCATGGTGCTAAAGGAAGAAAAAAGGAATCGATATTGCAGAAGCTTTTACAGAGAATTTATGAGCACTTTGTTCAGGATCAGTGTGTGAAGACTGAAGCATGGCTAGCACTGTGCACTTACTTATGGAAATGCTTACTGAGAAATCCCTTGTTGAATTCACACATTGTTTCAGGAAATTAAATTGGGAAATATGGAAATGGGCTTTTAAATTTTTCTTTCCGTTTATTAGTGTATACTCAGAAGAAGAAAGTGCTGTAATAAATTATCAAGCTCCTTTGAGAAATGTGGCTAAATAGACAGTAGCAGTGAAGTGTAGACCCTGCCAAAGTTCTTGGGCATACTTGCTCCAGTTTCTATGTTACAAAATAAGTGTGTTAGTACGGACTAGTTTCTGGTAGGAGTTCCCCTTAAGATAGATTTTCCCTGTATTTAGGTACTTCCCAGTCAAGACAAGATTTGTAGCATAAATAGATACCAACATGCAGCAGTCACTATCATCTTTCAGAGAGCTGGAAGCTGTTTCCTGTGTCAAGCCTGATGCATGCCCGATCTGATGCTTGTTTCAGGTATTATTTACTGCCAGCATTCCTAAGAAAGTGATGCTGTGCTGTTTCCTTGCTGGAGAGGCCATCCCTCAGCCCAGGCCATGGCCATGGATGGCTCCTGTGGTGCTGAACGAGGGCACTGGTGCCTCCAAGGCCCCAGAGGAGCCACACGTGGTCCTGCTCACAGCTGTGAAGTGAAATACAAGCAAGTAAGGAGAGCATATAGATAAGAATGGAGTGAATTATGGAATAAATTAGCAAGGAATTAAGAAATGGTTGATAGTTGTGAGAGGAGGAAGCCCCCCACACCCAGTGCCGGGCTAAGGTGAGCAGCACTGTTCACATAAGAATAGGGGGGTAAAGGGTTGTGACTGTGCAATTTTTACCTCCACTTTCCACCCTTATCTCCCTATTTACACACACAAAATCTATTTACAGAGACACACAAACTTACAACACAGATTTACAGACACAAAGTCTATCTTACATCTCTTGTTCCTTCCGATGGCAGGGTTCTCTCTGAAGGTCTCACGTGGCTGTGTGAACAGGACTCTTGTCTGTCTTCCTGTGTAGTGAAACTTAGTCCTCATATGCATTTTAAAGGTTTCAATGAAAAGCATCAAGAATCAGGAAAATCTTTGGGTGAAAAGATCATCATCTAAGTTACAGCTGTGTTGTGCCTTTTTGCCATGCTGCACCACGAAATCTCCCTTGTATTTATCTTTATTTCCTGGTGGTTGCATACTGGAACACAAAACTCCCCAGCAGAACCTGGGAGCTGTGTTTGGAGAGTGTCCTTATCACACCCAGCCAGGGAGCCTTGATCTGGTTCTCTAAATGAAAGTCCAGTAACTGTGGAGAAAGGAGGGGGTGGATCAGGCTTTGGACGTGTGATGGGTTTATTTCATTTAAAACACTATCCTGAAATTAATTCTTATGATTATTAAATAGCCTCAGTAGTTTCCGGCTGCAGCCAAGACAAAGCTGGCTGGGTTTGTGTTAGGAGGATTATTCAGCTGAAATTTTTAAAAGCATCTCTCAGTTAGTCACTTCCATTTCATGGTGTTTTGCCCTATTAAGTGTCATCAAAGTGAAATCTTCTTGTATGTTTGCCCTGTGTACTTCATGTTTTTATCTTTACTGTTTTCTCTTTGTTTGCTTTAAGGGGGTTGATTTCAGTTTCCATCAGTAATTGTAGGAATAGGTGCTGCTTAATTAATGATTTACAGATCATGGCTTTCATATTTGCTACTTCCACCTCCCTCTGCAGCAGCACTGAGCACTTGGTTCCTTTGGGTGCTGCAGAGCAAAGAGGCTTTGGGCTGAAAACCAGTAAAGAGAAAACAGCTCTAAAACTACACAGAAACTCATATCTCTGCTCACTAGCTGTAGTTTTTGCCCTAAGGCAAGGTGACAGTGGCATGTCCTCGCAGCAGGAGGCAGCTGAACATGATCAGGATAGGCAGTAGGAGTATCTGCATGACAGATCAAGGGACAGCCTGTGTTCATTCTCCTGGTGGTGTTAGGGATCTCTCCAGCAGCCAGCAGGTGACCTGAGCAATGCTGTCAGAGCTCTCCAGGGAGAGATGGGAGCACTGCATACCCAACCAAAAGGTGAAGGGAAAGCAGAGGCTCCCCATGCTTTGTTGAAAAGAACACAGGCTCCTTCTGATCAGTGTTTGAAGTGGAATCATTCCCAGGATCAAGCAGCCTGGGTTTTGACCTTTCTGCATGGCTGTTTACCAAATTTGTTTGTGATTTCTCCAAGCCACCTCTCCGCTCGCTTGCACTGCAGCATCTCCATCTGTGCCTAGGAGGGCTCTGATGCCAGACTTCATGAGGGCATTGGTCACAGGCTGTAATTTAGACATTAATACTCTCTCAGCAATAAAACCATTACTTGGATCTCCCCCGGGGAATTGTCTGGTCCTTTTGTATGAGCACTCCTTTGTTCTCATCTCACTTTTAACAGTTGTGTTGCTAAAGCATTGTTTTGGTGAATCATACGTATCAAAATGTGTTTTCCTCTTTCCTGTTCTCCCACTTGTCTGTGCTTTTTTTCTTCTTGTTAATCTTATTTAAATGTCTCCACTTTTGTTTCCCTTTAAATGTCTGAATAATTAGCAGCAGTGGGCACAGAAAGATTTCAGTCGATGTGAGCTGTATTGGTAAGTGTTTGACATGGCTTAATGAGTAGGGGAGGGGGGACAGTGGAGAGAGACTTTATTCAGCAGCAGCTTTCCAGCACTTCCTCAGTTTCCTGTTTGTAGGGAGAGCTTTCAGTCAGCTTTTCCAGCGTTCCTCTCATTTTTAAATGCATGTTTCCCAAATCTGTTCCACAGGTGCCAACAAAAAAGCTGAAGAAATATGAGAGAGAGTACCAAACAATGCGAGAGAGCCAGCTGCAGCAGGAAGATCCTATGGACAGATACAAGGTAGGGAGCTGCTAAATGGGAATTTGGTGAATCCCACGAGGAGTGAGCTGTCTCCAGCAGTTAAGCAGAGGTGTGTGTACCATGCTCACCTCCCTGGGATGTGCCAAGGCAGACCTTAGGGAAGTAAAGGTGATCTCATCCCCTTTCTTGAATAAGCACTTTGAAACTCTAGACTTAGTCTTTTTTTCCAAAAATATTTCAATCACAATTTGTAACTCTACAGACATCTGCAAGTAGCCACATATAATATTTTTCTTCTTTCAGTTTATATGTTTGTAGGTAACTCTCCTGCTGTTGCACTTTTACGGGAGATCTTCATGAGCCGCAGAAACAAAGGGTGATTCAGCTACAGACACAGAAAGGAGAAAATACACATTGTTCTAGTGCAAGCTGTGTGCAGTGGCATCCACAGAGACTTTGGAAGATGAACTCTTCCTTGGCTGATACGATCCTTATTATTCATTCCTGTTTATACCAAGCTTCAGTAATTTTTTGTTAAGATAATACCTATTATGGTGGGACCCAGAGCTCCTCTGGGGTCCTGAGGTACTGCTGCAATAGAGTTAATAGTGATGGATGTTCCTCTTTAAAGGAGTAGAGAAATAAGGTTCAGTTTTTAATATGACAGCTTGATAGTTCACTGAAAAAGAACAGTTCTACAATTTCAGGTCAGCTTTGCTTATCTTTACAATGTATTTGCTTTCATTGTCACAGCTGCGTTCTGTTGCCATAGATTTTGTGTGCTGGAGGCTCTGTCTCTGGGCACAGATGTTACTGAGAGTTTGGGAGCCTGTTCTTCCTCACTCTGTTTTGAACAATTCAGTTTGCTCTAGGTGAAGCTGCCAGGGCTGAAGCACTTTACTGCCCACTGCCCAGGATAGCTGGGAACTGACATTTCCTACATATCCTTGTACTGTTTGCCTGCTGTTCTTCATTGTGCCTTATTATGTTAGTGCCATTGTGGTTGTGATGGAGTCTTCCAGGGGTGGGGAGGGGTGAACAATCACACAGAGTGCAACAGGCTTGACATGGCCTGTAAACGTAAGAAAAGTGCACCATGTTCAGAAAACCAGAGTATGGAAATCTGTGGTGAAAGAGTGTGCCTTAATTCATAAATATGACAAAGAAAACTTACAGGTATGAAGTCAAACTGACTTTTTTTTTTTTTTTAAAGCATTTGTCTGTGAAAAAATTATATATTAAGTGTAGGTTTTTTGCTGTCAAAGGGTGGAGATTTTATTGTTTATGAGACTTGGGAGTGCTGTAGCTGCTGTAGAGCCAATAGCAAGTATGACCTATTTGGAAAAAACCACAACTGGCTGCTGATTAACTTTTAAGTGTTTTCCTAGTGGTTCACTTATACTGTGGAATTAAAATAATGCTTAGGAAACAAATAAGGGTTCTTTAAGGCTCGGTGGAAGCATATTAACTAGTTAATCCTGGTCAATGCACAGTGAAGAACATTATCCCAAGCTGCAAATGAGGATATGGGAAGTGACTCTTGGACCACTGTTGATGTGAGTCACTGTCACAGTCAAGATCACAGGCCAGGGTTTTGGCTTGCGCTTCTGAAATTCACTGTGGATTTTTTTATTAAGCTGTATTGGGTCTGATCCTCTTAAGGATGCTGTGAATAGAGAGTCCCTGTAATAGGTTAGTTGCATATTAACTTCAAAGTCTGGACACATTCTTCAGTTGATGGGTGTCATGGAAAAATGCCTGTAAATGTTCTTTGTTCCTTGTCTTGCTTGTTAGGTTTTATTGATATGTGAAGTTGAGGTTGGTAGGAACTGACATTTCAGGAGTGTTTCTAAAGGGCAGCAAGAAAATGTCACTTGTGTGGATCCTCCCAGGCAGCACGTGGAGAGCCAGCCTTGCTTTTTTTGTCCTTTTGGGAGAACTCTGCAGCCTGCATGGTCAGGGATGCATTTCATTTGGGCAGCACCTGTGCAGGGCTTCCAGCAGCCAGGCTTGGCTTGGGAAAGGACCAAAGCTAGCCTTGCCTACAAGCACAGCACTGCTGTCAGCTCCTGCTCTGTGGGCTGTGCCCCACAGCCCTACAACCTTGTCATTTTTACAGTTTCCCTTCCCAAAAGTGAGGTTTTTCCTGCCTAGGAAGGGAATGCTTCTTGGATGGGATCACTGGAATAGAGATCCCTGCAGATTCTTCCTCATATGGGTCGAGAAGGAAAAGAGCTTTAAACCAGTTGATAGTTTTTAGCTGTAGTTTTTAGAGTTGTTGCTACCAGCAGAAATTTGTCAGGCCCACGGAGACACAGTGATGCTGTGTGGTGAAGGATGTCTGAGTAAGGCACAGCCCTCAGAGGAAGTGCCTTGATGGCCTCTGGGAGAGAGGGAGATGGGCTGGTTTTGCAGTGTCAGGCCCAGTAACCAGTTGTGTTTGCCTGACTGGTTAAATTCATGTGCTCCCATGAGCTGTGTTAAACACGCACCAGTTCCTGCCCAGCACATATTTCACATGTTGTGATTTGATTTACCAGAAGAGCAGTATTAAAGAGTGCCATTATTTTTGGTGTTTGTTTCATTCTGTACTTACAAGTATTATTTAGGAAAAGGGCAAGTTTTTCTAGACATGTTTTAACTTAATTTTCCATTGCTTAAAAGAAATTACCATATTTTTGTCAGATTTTTAAAAGGTGCGAAAGAGAAATATGTTCTAAATTGTTGTTTGTTACCAAATTTCATTACTTTTAGTTAAATTACAAATTCCCTATAGAAGCTAGGAAGAAAAGTGAGTCATATGTGTAGAAAAAATAGTAATAGATTTCAGGTTGATGTTTTTCTAAATATTATGGAGTTTTATTTCTGTGTTTGAGAATGCCTCATGTAACAAGATTTGGGTTGACTTGATGAGAAAATTCCAGAAGTGAGCCTGGGAACTGATTTAAAATAAAAGGGATATAGTTGTTCCAAGAAGGGCTGGAGTTTTGCAAGCAGATGCTGCTGTTCTGTTCCATCTTTTCCTCTGTTGACTTCCTTGTGCAATGGAGAAGTTGTGTAAATAAATGTGTAATTTGGATATAAGAGCCTTCTCTGTAAGAGCCTTCTCTGTGTTTTGAAGGGGAAGCAAAAATCAATGCACTGGTCATTTTTATTCAGTCATGGCAACTGAATGTTAACCATAATGAGGAAAATCATGATGGCTTTTCTTGTGGGACAGTGTCTGTTGTTTCTTTTAAAATTGTGCTGGGGCACTTTGGGGAATGCTTCTCCAGAGTCAGCAAACAGAAAACACAACTGCCTCCAGGAGCCTCTGTGTTGCTTACCATGAGAGGCTTTCCTGGATTGCTTGCTGTAAAAGCTTCTTGGGTTTCTAGATGGAGGTTCAGAGGATTCTCCTTTGGAGCTTCTCCAATATCAAGAGCCCTTTCCATTGGGTTTATGAAGACCTCAGTTTGCTCACATCCAGGAAGTGGATTTTAATCAGTGTTTTCATTCCATCATTGAGGAGCAGTTCACACTCAAAGGTCTGAGGTTTGGATGTCTTGATTTAACCCAGCTAGCAACTCAGGCAGCTGCTTGCTCACTCCACCACAAGCAGGATGGGAGAGAGAATCCCCAGAGGAATAGTGACAAAACTCGTGGGTTGAGATGAAGACAGTTCAGTAGATAAAGCAAAAGAAGGAACTCAGCCACCCCTTCCCATGGGCAGGTAGTTGTTTAGCCATCTCCAGGAGGGCAGGGCTCCATCACACATAGCAGTGACTTGAGAAGACAAATGCCATCACTCCAAAGGTCCCCCCTGCTTTCTCCTTCTCCCTGCTTTACATACTCAGCATGATGCCATATGGTCTGGGCTGTCCCTTGGGATCAGCTGTGCCGGCTGTCTCCTCCCAGCTCCCTCACTGGTGAGGAGCTACAAGAAGCAGGAAAGGCTTTGGCTCTGTGCAAGCCCTGCTCAGCAATAACCAAACCACCTCTATCCTATCAACACCTTTTCCAGCACAAACCCAAAAGGTACTAACCACCGTGAAGAAAACTAACCCTGCCCGAGCCAAAGGCAGCACAGGGTGTTGCTGAACAGAAACAGAATTGCTTAACGAGGTTGGTGACTCATTACACCCCACTTGAGTACAGCACAGAGAGGATGCATCATGGTCACTAATCTCCTCAGGAATTGCTCCTTGGTGCAGCCTGGAAGGAGCAGAGGGTGGAGTTCAGCCTTGCAGTCATCCTGAACTGAGGCTTGCCTACAGCTTTCAAGTTTGTCATCTTCTTTCCACCCACTGTGTGATGGAAGCTGGAGCATCTCTCTCTAAAACTCGTAACAAAAAACACAGTGAAGAATAAGCAACCTTTTTGTTTTTTGTATTAGAAATTTATTTATATCCTGTTTTCACTGTCTTTACACCAATGGTTGAAAGCAGTATTTGGTCTGTGACTTTACAGGAGGTAAGTTGATTTGTGTTTGTGTGTATCAGCTTTGTTTGTCCTCTTTGGAAATGCAGTATCCTCCTTTTAAAAGCTAACCTAAGTTCACCAGCCACCTTCAGTAACAAGGAGGAGGAATTTGGGAAAGAGGGATCTGTTACTTTATGACTGTAGAAACCGGGCAATACTGAGGAGAAGGAAATGGTTGTCATAGTAAATTTAGTGTTGTGGAGAGGAGGCAGGAAGCTGTGTGTTTACACCAGGGACAACTAGCAGGTCTGACTGGTTGCCTGATGCCAGTTACTAAGTGCTGCCTCTGATGTGAGTCCTGCTGTGACAGACCAGCTTTGTCATTGTGAGCATATTTCATAAAACTCTAAATATTTCACAGCCTATGTAAATAGTTTGCTGCATGTGAAGAGCATTGTTTGCTCTTTCTGTCTTTACTGTGTCCTGTTAGTTTTTATGTAGACTTAGGTAGACTTAAGAGTTTCCTCCTGAGAAGGGAGGGAGTTTTACACTGCTGGACCTGGGGGGAGGAGCTGAAAAAGACAAACCAGCTTATCGGGTATACTGCCCTTTGTGGAGGAAGAGTAAAGGTGGTCCTGTGAGAACCTTTCAGCTGGACATTCAGAGTTTGGTGAATGAGCTAAAAACATCTTCTAGCTATTGACTGGATGCCCAAGGTAAGAGATCTTTAACTCACTACCAACATGCCATGTAAATTCTAGTTTAAGAGGAGGATAATGCATTTCCAAGCACAGAGCTTGCTTACCCACTTGTCTGCGAATGCAAAGCAGAAACTCTCAACCTCACACTGCGTGCCTTGCTTTGCAGACACTGAAGCTTTTGGCAAAGACATAGCAAAAATGGTAAAGCCAGCTCGGTTATTTTGTGAAAGTCATAAGAATTTGCTGCTTTCTTCCTCTAAACAACATCCCTGTGAAAAGGTATCGGTGCTGTGGAACCTGGTCTGACTCAGGTCTCAAGTTTTAGGTGAACTCAGGTCACTTTCTGATGACTGGCAGAGCTGTGTTCATAAAAACAGCATTTCTAAGATGGTCTGAACAAAATACAGGAATAAAGATGTGTTAGAGATTGTTATTAGTATTACCATTATTAATTGCAATTTTGTTTTACGCTTTAAAGCTTATATTACATTTCCAGAAACATTTTACTTTAATTTTTAAAAATCCTTGTCCCAAACAGACTAAAGTACATTTTAAAATAAGAAAGATCCCCAAAGCTGAGTGTGTTTTAGCAGTGGTTATTTTAATTGTGTTAAGACAAAGGCATTTGATTTAGTTTCTGTACAAAACAAATTACTCAAAGTAATCTTTTGGAAGGGAAACCAACTTACTTCCCTGTACAGGGCAGTGCCTATTCTAGTTACACAATAGGGTCACATTAACAAGAGAAATTTTGTAGAGGTTCCACTTCCTGCCACAGAGGAAGTTCCCACAGAGAAGAGACCTTTTTTTCCATCCTCTTAGACTGCCTGGTTTTGTTTAAGACAAACATGCAAAATCTGCTTGCAACAGAAATAAAAATTGCAATTTCATAGTTGAGAGTTTGGAAAGAACAAAATATCTGAGCATAGCTGGTGAGTAGGGAGGCAGTGAGAACAGGTGAATAATATACTTATGCATGAAATCACATTTTGTAGGAATGCATCTACTGAACAACTCTTGAAAAACATAGTAAGTGCTAATATATATATTATTATATATCATTGACTTTTACTGATAATGTTTGGACTCTCACTGTTTTGTTTTGAAGAACATAAGTTACCTTTAGGTGAGAATAAGTCCTTTTTGAAATCTCAGCATATAGGTTATTCTTTTTCCACCTGTGAGTTTCCATATGAACATGGTGCTTTTCCTTGAGTTTCCATACTGCTGAGATTCCCTTTGAAGCCTGTTTTGATATGGAAGATATACAGTGAAAAACAGCACAGTTTTTTCCTCTTGAAATCCATTTGGAGGAAGGCACCTCTGTCTATCCCACCTGGCTGTGTTCTTCTGAAAATGACGACCTGTATTTGATATTGAACCCCTAGAAGTCTAGTGACCCACAGGCATTTTTCAAATATGGTTCCATTTCTCAACTCTAGAACAATAGTCATAGATTTCTAAAAGATATTAATTATTGTTCATTCTCCTGTTCCTTCACCTTGTGTGGCTAATGCTTCAGATAGTCATTTCTGCCTGTGTGGAGTGGGTAGGGAGAGCAGCGGAGCAAGAGCCTGCAGCCTCCAATTGTCCATTTGTGTTCCTGTCACTGCCCCAGCAGGTCCTGGGCTGTGCTCAGGGATGAGCTCCCCTCTCCACCTGGCACTGTAAGGTACACACTGGTGTCACTGGCACGAGTTCCAGAGCAGCGCACAAATGGTGAGACAGGATGTATGAGCTGTAGGGAGTTCCCTGCTAAATGCTGTTCTATGCTGCTCCTGCAGGAGATGGGAAGTTGGCACTGCATCACCTACAAAGTGGACTATTTTTATGGATCCCTGCAGACAGAATTTTGTAAAGTGGAGCAGGACAGCTTTCTACTTTGCTTGGAAGCATTATTTCGAGTAACTCTTAATTGGTCCCTGTTCGCTGCTGCTAGGTGGGATTTTATCTGCCCAATTTCTTTAGATGATGAGCAAGCAGAAACCAAGTGCTTCTGTGGAGAGGTCAGTGTTTATTTTTGACAGGGAAACACTACAATCAGTGTGTCCCTTGCACAACACAAACCAGTGGGATGTAAGTGGAATAGCTGCATTTGCACTGCTGGCTTAATTCACTGTTGTTTCCCAGAGCAGCAGTCCTGTCTTAATGTGCACTTTTGCCTTCTCAGTGTTTGGCACACACCATGCACTTACTCATTGCTCTTTATGAGGATTAATTTCCTTTCCTGGTTGTTCCTTTCTTTCCACAGAGGGAAAACCGCAGGCTCCAAGAAGCAAGCATGAGGCTGGAGCAGGAGAATGATGACCTTGCCCATGAGCTTGTAACAAGCAAAATTGCCTTACGGAATGACCTGGACCAGGTAATGGTAACAGAGCTGGGGCCAGCTCAGGCTTGGCAACAGCAGTTGGAGGAGCCCTGCTTTGTGCTCAAGTGAAAGCATGAACACATTAAAAATATAATTATTTTTGCCTTTATTTTCCTGACAACCTCACTCTTAGCTGCACTCAGCTGTATTTCCATGTGCCACTGCAGGCATTCAGTGGGGTCTGGCCAAGACTGATTCCATCTTCTCTGTTGGGGATTGTTTAGAAAATGTAGGCCATAACCTTTAGGCAGATAGCAAAGAATGAACATTTCCTTGAAAAAGGTGTCACGTAGTTCTTGGGAGATTAGTTTCAAGGGAAGTTGCATTGCAAAATGTCTGTGTGGATCTGTTTTTCACAGCACTTTTAGTACAGCCAACAAAATACAGAGATAATGAAGTGGCACAGCACCAAAAATTCAACAGGCTGCTGGGTGTTCACTGATAACTGCTCGTGTTCCCTGTGGAGACTGGAATATGGAAGGCAGCAGCATTCAGAGCCCTCTGCCCCAGACACAGTGGTTTTCAGAGAGCCACACATTCAGCCTTCTCTTTCTGCACTGTAGGTGTTTGGAGAAACTGGAATGAGCACAAAAAAGGAGGAAAGATTTGTAGTTCCTTCAAAGCATATCTTAAATATCCTTGTAATCCCCAAATACTTTTGTTCTGAGATGTTAATCTCATCAATTTTCCATTCTTGCACTGTTTGTTTTCCTTTCTCCCTACAGCCTTACACACACTAAGCAATAAAGAAATCCTTAATCCATCTCTCCAGTAATAGAGATGGTGGAGCTGGTTCTGGTGCTCTCAAACACCACTAATATCCTCCTTAATCATTATTACTGTGGCACAGAGACAAGCTGATACCACCACAGTGGTAGAAAACCAAACTTCAGTTCGGAGACAAGTTCTGCATTGTTACTTGTTTCCAATGCCCTTTTCCCTCCTGTAATTTCAGCAAAGTCAGTGTTAATTGGCCACAACCATTTCCTGTCTGGACCTCTGAGCAGGAAGGGTGGTGAGATGCTTTCCCAGCTGGGGAGGCCTGCAGAATATATCCAAACATTGAGAAATGTTTGGATATATTGGCATTTTTCTCCTGATGATTACTGAGGACAGTGCTCACAAAAACAAAGCATTCTCAGTATGTGTCAACAAAAACTTGGTCCTTCCAGAGAAAATTATATTCTCAGTTATCAGTTTTCTTCACGGAATACTTATTTACACTGATAAACCATTTTTCTGGTGGTCCTGTTTGTCTCTTACACTTGCCTTTGCCTGAACAATTTGTAGGGTACAATGCAGACACCTAAGTACTTCACAGTTATATTTTCCCTGCTCACTGATTTAAAAATGGGATGAGTTATTTGAAGTTACACAGTAGGTAAATCATGCTGCCCTCACTTAGATTAATATTGGTACCAGCAAAAATATTCTATACATCACTGTTTGTGCTAGGACATAGTATCTGTGGTTAAGTGCCATCTGAGCATAGGTAAACAATTGGCCAAAGCGTCCTTTTGCACAGGTGTTGAAACACAGTGAAATAATTGGTAAATAGCTAACTGAAAGGGGAATTTCATATCAAAAAGTTAAGTGAGCCATTAGAGGGCAGGAAAAGGCAATGCTAAAACCTGAACCTCTTGTATTTCTGAGCTGTACATCCCAGTGTGTTTGTGCTGGCACAGAGAACTTCTGATTTACACAAGTGTCTCTGATTCTAGGCTGAAGACAAAGCAGATGTTTTGAACAAAGAACTTCTCCTGACCAAACAGAAGCTAGTGGAGACTGAGGAAGAGAAAAGGAAGCAGGAAGAGGAAACTGCTCAGGTAAGGCATTCTCCAGCTTTTCACAATTCGTTAATAAATGCAAGAAAAACTATATGCAGAAAAGTGTGGTTGTGTTGCAATTGTGAAAAGGATTTTGTGCTCAAAATGCAGTTTCAATTAAAAGTTAAGAGTGCCAGGGTAATTTTTTTTCCATAGTATAGTTTTCAGTGGTATTCTTTACTTGAGCTCTGAATGTTTAGTTTTTCATACCTTATCCTCCTATCCAAGTATTGTATCAATTGTTATCACTGGTGGTGAGCAATCTCAGCTAAGGAGATGTGACCAGACCTCTTAAACATCTAAATTAAGGAGCTGGAGGAGTTGTTGCCTTGTAAGAGCCCATTCTGGATTCAGCTGCTGGATCATTTAAATAATGTTCCTGCCTGAAGCCAGCAGCAGAAGAACAGGGGTGGGGGTTGGGAGAATTTTGCTGACTAGACTGGGCTTCATACTCAGCTGCAAAATACTTAGTCTTTGTTCTGTAATCCTATATATCTAACATGTACGTTTCAAAAGCAATACCCTGATTTTTAATTTTGCTATTTGGCAACAGTGACTGCAACAATTAATGTTAATTCATTGTGTCTCTCTAAAATGGAGCTTTCAGTTTGCTATAAGAAAGGCAGTGAGGTTTTTTTCCTACTGAAAGGGCTCTCCAAGTGGAGTGGTTCTGAAGGAGGCGTGAGTTAGCTGTGTTTTCACTCAGTGCCAGAGACCCAAACAGATTTTTTTTCTCCTGTTATGGAGATGACAGTGTTGAGAGATTCTTCTTCTTCCATCTCCAAACAAACAATCTGGTCAAAGCTGCTGTGACAGTGTGCAGAAAAACCAAAACTAAATCAGTAAACCCCACCTAATAGTGATGCTTTTCTTTATGTTCTGTGGACCATGATGTACCACCATTTAACACAGAGAGTAGGAATTCAGTCACAGGAGAATTCTCTAACCAGAGATAAAGGGTCACAGTAGAGACTTCTTGGTTATAACTGGTATTATCAGTATTTGTAAACTGAGTAAATCAGACACTTGTGTCAGAACTGGAATTTCATAAGAAACAGCTGTAGAGCTGTTGTAAACACAGCGAGACACAAGGAAAACAATCTGCTGACATGTTTTGAGAAGTTCTGTCAGTGTACTGTGTAACTTCTCTCCTTCAATTCCTAGCTGAAGGAGGTCTTCAGGAAGCAGCTGGAGAAGGCAGAATCTGAGATCAAGAAAACCACAGCCATTATTGCAGAGTATAAACAGGTACCATTCCAGGGACCCTTTCTCATATTTTTTCATTCTACCTGTTACAAGAGCTGAATTTTCAGCATTGCAGATCTTGTCCTTGAAACAAGCTCCACCTTCCAGGCTTTCAGAGAGCGATGTTGTAATTCGTCATAAATCTTCCTGTGGCTTTCCTAATAGTCTCCTAATTAGGCAGGAATAACCTGTCTTTCAGTTAATTTTAGTACTGTAGGGTGAATGCTTCTGTACTTGGTGACATAATGCAGTATAAACATCATAAACCAACTCATCCATAAAACGTCCCTGTTTCTGTATTCTGGTTCTGTATTGAATACTGCTGGGGTTTTATCATTCACAGCAGCAGTGGAGTTGTTAAGGGGGAATGCATATACTGAGTGAGGCAGAATTTAAGAAATGTTGGTTCTAGCAAAAAACATTGTTAAAAAGCACACAGATTCTACTTTAATATAATAAGCTTGAGCTAAGAGACTGCTTTCTCTGCTCCAGATTTGTTCCCAACTGAGTACCAGGCTGGAAAAACAGCAAGCGGCCAGTAAAGATGAGCTGGAAGTTGTGAAGGTGAGAACAATGTCTCTGCATAGGGGATATTTCTAACACAAGTGTTGCTGAATGCCAGGGATACAGAACGAAATGTGAACTGAAGTTCAAGTACATCAATAGCCCCACATGCATTTTTCAGCAGATGAATAAACAAGGAAAGGGTTTATTTCCTTTCATGGTTCTTTATCTTGCATCAGACAGTGTGGAACTCTCAAACTGAAGTGCATTTAGTACTTGGCTTCTCTTTTTGCTGTTAAAATATATACCTCTGGTAAAAAATGTAGAGAAAACAGTATTTACTTGAGTGTTTGATTAACTGGAAAAAAAAAAGGAGACTCTCTAGAATACAAAACATGTTGTTTCTCTAATGTGCACACTTGAGATTGGAATTGGCCAGACTGGACAAAGTTTCTATATTTGGGTTTCTGTAATTTAAGTAGAATTGGTTTAAGTAATTAAACCAAATGGCACTGCTAGGGCCATCCTCAGAATTTCCACAGGGGTTCCTCACTCTTCTCTTCCTCTCTCTTCCTCAGCAGGAACACATACATGAGAGTTTAAAATTTCCTGATAGGTGGTAATAATAATAATAAATAATGAAATTCTGAGTAGACAGAGTTGTTTACCCTCTGCTGTAGCTTCTACATATTTCTTTAGTACTCAAGCTGAACTGGATTTGTTACTTTTTAGTGATTTTTTTAATGTTTTGATAATAACATAAAATAATTCTAGGATTGATGCTCCTATATTCTGCTGAAATAGCTCAATATCCTGTTTTAGTCTGTGTAAGCCAAGCCAGCTGCTTCATCTCCTTAGATTTAATTTACTCTTCTGAGTTGTGCTGACATAATTACAAAACTTTGGTAGCAAGAAGAGTTTAATATAGGAGCAAAGTCTCCATGCTTAGAGCATACTAAGTAGTAGATTTTAGGAATTTTTATACTGGTTAACATACTCTGGAAATTGTTCATGAACCACTCAAATTCTTTTCATGCCAATTATAAAACCTGCAGTACTAGATGGTCTGAGATTGAGGCAGTCTGACAAATAAAATTGCTCTTCTAGGAAGTACAGCAACTCCTGTAACATGGATTAAGAATGAGCTTTCTGGGTATTTCAGGGTAAAGTGATGGCCTGCAAACACTGCAGTGAGATTTTCAGCAAGGAGGGGACACTGAAGGTGCCTGCTGTAAGCACGGACAACAAAGGCATCGAAACAGATGATGAGAAGGATGCACTGAAGAAGCAGCTGAGAGAGATGGAGCTGGAGCTTGCACAGACCAAACTGCAGCTTGTGGAAGCCAAGTGCAAAATTCAGGTACGTGGAATCCAAGTACAGCAGGGTGGTCAACCTTAACCTCATGCTAAGTCCAAGATTATTCTGAATCATACAAAAAATTGTTCCAAACGGGAGCACATACCTGCATGCCTGTATATCTGAACTTTCAGGAAAAAAAAAAAAAAAAACCAAAACAAAAAAACCTGCCTTAAAAAGAAAAAGATTATTTTATTTGTGTCTAAATATCTTGTGCTGTTTCAGCAGTTTCAGTGTCTTCTCTCCCCAGTGCCTGGGAGGTTGCAAGGGAAGTGCTGGACCGCAGGGACTGAGTGTGAAGATGCTTCTTTGTTAATTAATTAGGTTTTGATCAATTCTGACTATTCTGCTTTCTTAGGAGCTGGAGCACCAGAGAGGAGCCCTTATGAATGAAATCCAAGCTGCCAAAAACTCTTGGTTTAGCAAAACCCTGAACTCTATCAAAACGGCCACAGGCACGCAGGCAGCGCCGCAGCCGCAGCCGCCCCTGCCTCCCCGAGAGGGCAGCACATAGTTCCAGCCACAGCCGGCTCAAGAGCACAAAGAACAACACAGCTGAAACCTTGGAGGATTCTTCCAGTGGTCTCTCCTCCTGGGCAAAGGACAGTGAGGCAGGAGTGCAGGCTTGAAGTGAAATTCTTCAGTGTTTTTCATTCATTTTCTGATGTGGCCCTTTTCAAAGGGGTGGGAAAAAAATAAGTCCTGGTTTATGTTGAATTCCTACTTCCCCCATACTGCCTTGCTGAAAGCCACGTTCTGATACCTTCATACTTTTACACTTTATTTTATATAACTAGATGTTAAATAAATATTTCAAAACTAGGTCTTTAATACACATCTAATTTGAAATTATTTTTGTCTTGCATAGAAGGTTTTTCTTCTTCTGGAGGAAGAGAAAGAATGGCAAATGTACAATACTGCAGCATAATCTCTCCCTAGGAAGCACAGCGTAAGACATTGAGGATAACTTAGGCCCTGGGACCATCTCAGAATTTTATCTCAGCACCTGCATCCTGCAGAGAAGCACTTTTTGTAAAGCTTAGGCCATAGCAAAGATAGGCTTGTGCTCTCCTGGCTCAATTGCTATGAGCTTCCCTTACAACTTCTTCGTTTGGATTGGTTTTTCTTCAGAAATACAAGTAGTGCAGTTTTTGTAACACTGTTGTTTAAAGGCTGTTTACATAGCCCATCTGGAATTTAACATAAAGTTCCCTAATTCTCTTTTTAATTCATGTTTATATTAAGAATTCCAAGGAATAATTCCTTCCACTGGGATAAAGGGAGAATCGTTTTGACACTTATTTGATGTTTCTGCTGAGAAGCAGAGTGGAGACCTTGCATGGTTTTGACCTTTTGTAAATCCTGTGCAATAAAGGGTAGGTTTTATGAATAAAAGTAATGAAAGCCTTGCCCTGGGTCTATATTCAGATTCCAAATTTGACACAGAAATGAGGTATCAAAAAAAAAAAAACACCCAAGAGGCTTGTGCTGCACTGACGAATAAAATACCATAGAAACAAGATCTGTTTGCTAGAAGTGTTTGGTTAGGAAACACTTTGTTGGTATTACTTATTTTTATAAAAACAAGCATTTTCAAGTAGAATACAAGCCCTAGACTTTCCTGTGGGGGTGGACTTCTCTGGTGATTCCCAAACCTGTCTGGTTGTTTTATATCTTTTAAGGTAAGAAAGTTCAAAAGCATTTGTTTTGACTAAACATAAAGTGTTCATAGAAATACTTATTTCATGGAAAATTAAACTATTGCTTGAACTGATGGAATATTTTTTTAATTATATGTGTCATGTCTGAAGATGGTCTTGCAGGTAAATGTCATTGCTGGACTAAATGTTGTGTATTAATTGTTTCATTTACAAGATTTTTCCAGGGACGCTAGTTCTGTTTTGATCTTTTTTTTTTAATTCTAAGGAATGCCATACATTGTCGGTTTTGTACAATAAAATTTAATAATACCCATCTTGTGCTTTCTTGTCAAGCATAATTGTGAATTATTTTCAACAGGGTAGTACAAATTTAATGTTACCAGTGCCAAAGGAAAAATTCCAAAAGGCAGTCAGCTGATAGAAGAGATCAAAATATAATCACCATCCTGACACAATTCTCTCTTCTAAGAATAAGGGGTTAAAAAACTTTAATATTTTAAAATGTACCTTCAAGAAGAGTGACTATCTGGAATTATTAATACAGCGAGAAACAAAAGGAGGAAAAACAGATGGTATTTCTTTTGCAAATGTTATCAAAGGTCTTTTTCCCTTGTCACTGTCTTGCTCATAATATTTGCATAAGTGTTTCCATTCTCCCCGACTGACTAAGCCCAGTGTTAGTCATTCACTTACCAGTTCTGCTTCACATTCAGAATGTGAATCTGAATTCATAATAAATCTGAAGTGACATTTAAGGATACCTGGTGAACATCTGATTGTTGCATTTGAGAGTACTGTGCCCATGAGGAAAACTGGTTGTTTGACAAGTGTTTGAATGTCTCATTTCATTTAGCTTAAATCATACATACAAGTGGATTTAAAACCATGATTGGAAAAGTTCAGTAAGAATAAGTACAGAAATGTGTTAGGCTGTGATTCCCTGAGCAGATGAGTTACGAGCTCACTCCTGCTCATCCCTCCAACCCACCATTGTACAGTCCTGTCCCTTGTCCTTGTTGTAGGATGTACTGGAGATAATTAAAAGCAACAACAAAAAAAGCTGGGGGTGGATTTATCCCCCTACAGTTCATCTTTTGTCAAGTGAATGAGTTAAATCACCTCTAAGGGTCCAATGAGCAGATCATGGGACTGGGACTTCCCAAATTCATCAAAAAGGAACTGGTAAATAAGGTAACCATGTTTCACAGAATGAGCTTTGACCCAGTGTTCATTTTCTCAGTGTAGCTGGTTTCTGACTTTGAAAGTTGAGTTTCAGGAACAAAACCACATTTGCTACCTGCCAGCCATGATGATTTCAAACCCTTGTAAGGATGGAAGCTGGCTTACCTCACCCAAAGGAAGTTTTGGAAAGCAGTGACCCTAAAGGCTGTAAACAATTTCCACCTTCCAGCTGTAGATCCAAGGTAGCATTTGTAGCAATGGCCTTTGGAAGAGTAATATTTAGGTGGAAGCTGCATCTTCTCAGCATTACTGAAAGAGTAAGAAAATAACTTTATGGCATTATCTTGATGACTATTCAGAATGAAGGAAAGGAGCAGGACTCCATGATTAGACCAGGCAAGCTAAAACTCTATCTGCTGACTATAGATGCTATTAGGAAATTTAGTTTCCTGCAAGAAAAGAGATCTCTGTGTCACAGAACTACCTACATGCTTATCCTTTGTGGATTTGTCAGGGACAGCTGGCTTATTGCTCAGCTTTTCATCAGGAAACGTCATCAAGGTCTTACTGAAACTGTTGTTTCCATGTGGCACTGCAACAGCTAACATAGCTGTTAAGTCTGGAGTGATCAGCCTTTTTTCCCTGAGGCTGTAGTAAACTATGTGTTCAGATCAAACTTTTATTAAAATTCATTTGAATTTTATAAATATATATGTGGAACTAAAACCTATTTTTAAATTTTATTGAGATTGCACCATTCTGAAATAAAGTCTTTACTTTGATTAGGAACAAGCCTCCAAAGAATATTTTTACTACAACTTTTATCTTGTTGGACTATAATCTCTTCCTGAGATGCCCAGTATGGGGGGCAAAAAAAAAAGAAAAAAGTCCTTCTTTTCACTTTAAAACATTGGTTTTCCTTTGACTGTAACACTTTACAGGCTAAATGAAGCAAGGCTGATTTAGTTATGTGGTATATTTGTGAACTAGTCTTGTATTATCTTTGTGAATCAAACTTAATATTCTAAAGTAATAGGACTTACTCCACTTAGTTTAAGTTTCTAAATGTACCTGGAGAGGAATAAAAAGAAAAAAATATAAAAAATACCATGGATGGAGAAGCCAAGAAACTGTGAAATCCCTGAGGTGTGTCTGCATTAGGGTTTGGCAGAAACAATCTCAGGAAAGGTAATCAGCCATGTAATCAGTACTGCCAGTGGTCAAACCCACCCTTGTCCTGAGCATTAATGAGGATTTAATTTGCTACAGCTGAGTTACATTGCTACAACTAAGTTAAAGTGCTTACACAGGTAAGCAGTATTTTTTTTTTCTTTGTTAGATGTTTAAAATTACTTCTCTTAGTTGGCCCTTGAAATTTCTTTGAAGATAAATTATCATCTCTGCCACTGTGTTAAGAACAATTTGAAATAAAACCAGCTGTTTACAAGGGGAGATGGAGATAAAAAGTCAAGAATTGCAAGAGTTCAGCCCCTTCACAAAGCATGAACTATCCCATTGACTTCATGGTCGTGATGCTACTCATTGACTAAACGTGGTAGTTTAGGAGTAAATAAAAGTGCATTTACTGGTACTAAATTATCAACATTTGGGAGTCACATGGCCATGTTTTCTCCACAGGATCAAGGTGGGGCTGTTCCTTTCCTTCTGTTAAGTAGCTGTAGTGAAATCCATGAAACTACTTGTATGTGTGGGAGAACTAGAATCAGGTGATTTTCATTTACTCAGAGGATTTTCATTTACTGTTAGACTCAGGGATAATTGGCAACTTCTGCACCATCTCCTCTAAGCCTAAACACCCTTGGCTTTGATAGCAGAAGCATTCTTACCTTACAGTGCTGGTGTTCTTCCAGCTGCTCGAGAGAAAACCATAGTAAGTGTCATGATTGATTGAGTGTGAAGGGAGGGCAGAGATGTTCCCCTCAGCTCTGAGGGATTGCTGTGGCTGACAAGGACTCCCTGTCCCTGCTGGACCCTGCTGAGGGGGCTGCAAACACAGAAGTTAAAACTAACTCATTTGTCTGCCTATTGTGCCAATATCCTACTGGGAACTGTCCCATTAACTCCTTCCAGGTAATAACACTAAGGGAGACATGATGAAACACTCAAGTTTGGATCTCTCAGGTGTTAGGGGAGGTGTATGTCACAGCAGCTTTTAGAACTGAGCTATCCATACGTGGCTTTTGGGAAATGCAAGGAATTTGCAATTGGATAAATAATGCTCAGCATTGACCAAGACGTTATCCTTCCCAGGTCAGAAGTCTACACAGTTTATTTCAGGATTGTGACTTAACACATACAGGTCAATTCTCCAGGAATACAGGGCTCTCAGTTTCTCCTGGGTCCCAATGGCTTTGCTACTGAATGTATTTCATGCTATTTTTACCTGAAAAACAAAAAAATGGGTACAGAATTAGGATATTACTTTTTATTATTTTCTTATCCAGTGTGACTTGCTTTTATTTAACCTGTAAAGGAATATATATGTATCTTTGGAGAACTATATCTTACATATAGAATAATATAAAAGAAACAGAATGACAAGGGGATAAATACATCAAAAGGATTTGGTATCATAAATTTCATTTGATACCACCAGAATCCTGGGCTGTACTAATTTCCTTACAGTTTCTCTTATTTCTGTATTTTATATAATACATGGATGGTACTACCAATGCAAACCACAGCAGATGTTCCCAGATTTTTCTGCCTTTCAGTAATTCCTGGGTTTGCAATTCTGCTATACCACCCTCAAAAGCTGTGCCAAGAGCTCTATTGAGCTTTGGGAGCTCTTGCTTTCCCATGGAAGAAGATTCTCTGGCTTCTTTGAACTGGGAAAAGATAACGTATGAATGCAGAAAAGTTTCCAATCAAGCATAATCCATCTCCCTCTGTGTCTGCCATTAAGGTGGATTTGCTCCAGCACACTGAAAACAGAGCAGCTCCAAAGCTCTGACTCCATGACAATTAAGTTTTCCAGATTTGGGGTTGCCTTTTGATCTGGGTGTGTCCCAAGTTCACAAATCCTGAAGAGTTAGGAAAAAAAAAGAGCATCATACAGAGGTCACACTTCCATCTGAGAACCATTCAGTACTACCACTACTTGGGTAACACATCCATGTATTATATAAAGTACAACATGAAAATATAAGTGTAATGCTTGTTATTAAAAGTGCAATTCAATGTACCTGGTCACAACAAATGTTTACTTTTTTAATTGTTACAGAAATGTTCAAATCAGTACCTTGTTACCATTGTGTGAACGATGCCTTGTAAAATAAATGGAAATGGAAAACAACTTGGGAATAAGATGCTTATTTTCCTAAGCCATTTACTTAAGAAGCAGCTTAAATCTGCAGGAAGAAGCAGCTGCTGTGTCAGGTTTTCTGACACAGTTCTCACCAGCAGCTCTGCTGCACTGGGGCACTGTGACTTGGCAGGTTGGCTGTCCAAAGGGGGTGCATGCTAATTCTAATTTCTTAGGACAATGGCCCTGTTCAGCTGTGCCAGAGGGATAAGAGCTCACCCTGCTCCACATGCCAGTCTGAGGTTTCCAGCACAGAGCATGCTTTCCCTAAAGGTTGGTGATACACAGCAGTGGGACGGTAGTTGTTGGTAAGGTCTGGAGTACACAAGCCTTGAGGCAGTGCACCGGCAGGAAGAGACAAGGGGGGAGAATAAACAGCAAGAAACTGGCAAGTGACTACTAAGAGAGAGGCAGGGCTGAGCAAGAACAGAAAAGAGAATGTGCTGCAGTCGAAAGTATCCAAATGCTTTATAAAACCATTTTTCCATGTGAGCAACTGCTCTAGGATTAATTTTTCCATTAACTGAGAAGAACTGCCGTTGTTCCCAGATAACAGCAAAAGCACACAGCACTTCAGGGGAAGATAAGGCAAAGAGGGACAAAAGCTAAAGATTAAATTTACCAGCCATAATATTTTGTATGGATTTACCTCCACATCACTATCCAAAATGTTTGTCAGGAGAGGAGGCAGCATCCAGATGCTGTTGCAGCTTCTTGTCATGAGTGATAACTCTTCCACATGGAAGATGCCACTCAAAGGGAAGTGCTATGTGTGCAGAATTACTCATCATTTAAGGAAACTAAACACTTTAAAAACCCCAAAAACTGAAGGAAAAAAGCAAATTACAGGCTCACTTCAAATGTATTTCTATGTTAACGAAAGCATTTCCTCCTCTAGCCAGAACTTAAATTAGAAAGCAATACCAATTTAAATTGTAAAAATAAGAGCACTTGCTAATATAAGACCACAACTGAGTGTGGGGAAACTCAAAGATTAGTAGCTACATTAAAAACCACAAAAAAAAAAAAAAAAAAAAAAATAAAAAAAAAATACAAAAAAAAAAAACTGTCCTTAAACAAAAAAAAAAAAAAAAAAAAAAAAAAACCCAAAAAAACCACCAAAAACTGCCACAAACATAAATTCCAGCTGACCATATTGTATTTCCTGGATAAAATCAATTATCATGTCTCCAAATGCTGTTCTTGAAGATTGTCAGGCTTATGTTTAGTCCTATGAAAATTTAGAATACCTACAGTTAATTTTGCAGATTTTTTCTCCACTGCAGATCCTGAAGCACTGCAGCAGAGGGTTATAATAAACACCTCAGTACATCTGTTATAACCACTTTGGGGAGTGCCAACTTGAACGTAAATCTTTGGCTTCAGGACTTCTCTGAATTCATTTTTGTCAAATTTCTTCTTCCCTCCCTACCTCTACAGATCTCTTTACAGATGAATTCCTAGATGTTCGCTTTAGAAGACACAAAAACCCAGACCTTAAGCCTATGTATCAGCAAACGAGCTGATATTCCTTAGTTTGGTAAAACAGGTGTTACAACTGGCACCTTTTTCTAGAGAAATGGACTTTTTCAGCGCTGAAGGGCTGTGTTCTGCCTTGGGTCACACTGTTTATAAAGGACATCTGGGGGCAAACACTGCCTCTACATTCCTGCTGAGAGAAAGAGTGCCATTGCCTTATTGTTTTCTTCCAGGGAAACTGGAATGCCCAGTGGGGCTATAGAAATTTTATTTGTTGGTGCTCATTGCACTGATTTAGTAACAGTGTCAACAGTCATGTTTTTCTTTTGATGAGGAAAATGCTTAAAAGAGAATTTTGGTAGCATTACACCAGCATGTTTTTACATGCATATAGCCAAATGCTCTGTAAATAAAATCTACATTTTCCTTGCAAATGGATTGGTAAGTTCTTACTCACAAAGTCACTCCCAGAGTACACACTGTGACATTACAGGTCAGGAACAATTTCTCTGGGTTTGTTGTAGAAAGCTTATTATGCATTAGTTGTGGAGGTGTGTGAGGGCACTGTGCCATCCACCCAGCTTCTATTGGATTTGGTTGTTTTATAATTGATGAAATCTTAGAACTTGAAAGCTTAAACCCTGCTGGAGCTGAGGTTGGTCTTTTCCAACCTCAATAACCATGAAAATGAGGAGCAGACACAGAACATGGCATTTAGTTTATAAACCCATCCTCCTTTAAAGGCCGTGAACAGACATTTCTTCGCTTTTCATCACTATTTACCTCCACCACATGAGCCTGATACTCTCTGCCTGAAGAAGCAAAACACTTTATTTTGCAAAATTATTCGAGGACCTTGACAGCCACGAGCTCAGGGGCATCTGCTGTAAAATGAGGGGGGAGATTTCGATCGCCAAGCTAAAACCCAGCAGCCTCAGCCGCCCCTCACGCTGAGCAGCCCCGGGGGTGGGAAGAGCCCTGGTCCCGCCTGGTATAAATGGAAATGTGCCCAGCCGAATTAAAATGGAAAAATAAAATATTTGTTTTGCAATCAAATCCTATCTAGCCAGCCACAAGGAAAGAACAGAGCCGAGCCCGGGGTCGGCACTGGGTGTGCAATGAGCAGTCAGCCTCAGCAGAGGTTTTCCTCTGTGCCCACACACCTCCATCCTGGCACAGGCGGATTTTATAGGGAAAATTCCGCCTGAGGCCAAGATTTCGGCAGTCAGTCTTTTCTTCCATTCAGAGTCCATAGGTTAATAAGATTTTATTTTTTGGTGATGAGGAAGAATAATTCAGTGTCCGGAGTAGTTGAATCCCTTGATGAAATTTACGGGAACGCTGCATTCACATGCATTTGCCTGAGGATTTCCATGATATCCATCTCACGACCTATATCCCGGCCGAGCCACATCCTTTTACTTGTAAATCGGGTTTCAACACAAACCAGGTTTCGCCTGCGAGGGTGGGGGACTCCTAATACAAACGTGTGTACTCCAACAAATATTCAGGATCACACTAGAAATGGCGCGAATTATATCTACTACACATAACACGCCCGTGCCCGGAGCGGGGGGAGACGCTCCCGGTCCCGCCCGTGCCCCGAGCCCGGCAGGGGGAGAAGCCCAGGGTCAGGAGGCGGGGGGAGACGCTCCCGGTCCCGCCTGTGCCCCGAGCCCGGCAGGGGGAGAAGCCCAGGGTCAGGAGGCGGGGGGAGACGCTCCCGGTCCCGCCCGTCCCTCAGAGCCACAGCGGGCAGAGAACCTCGCGGTCCCGCCTCCTGAGGGCCGGGGCGGGCGGTGCCGGGGCCGCGCGTCACTTCCCGCGGCCGGAAGGTTCCAGAGGTTCCGCGGGCAGCCGCCATGGCCGTGGCGCGGGAGGAGGTGAGGCCGTTCCCGACTTCGCTCCGCGGTGCGGGCCGGGTCCTGGGCGAGGGGCAGCGGTGTGGCCCCGCCGGGGAGCCGGGCAGCGTCAGTCCCCGCGGTCGCTGAGCGCTGTGGGGGGCTCCCCTTGCGGCGGTGCCATCCGCCCAGCTTCTGGTGGTTCTTGTTGGTTTTTAGTGTATGAAGAGTTAAGCGCTGAAAGCTTAAACCTTGTCTGAATTGGGCTTGGGTGTCTTTTCCAGTGTTGTGCTCTGAGATGGCCGTGGCTGAGCAGGGGAGTTGCACCCTTCCAGCCCGGCCCGTTGTGTGAATTAGGATTCTGTGGTTGTGCATACCTACAGGAGTGGACGGGGGTGAGGAAGGGATGATTCCGTGCTTAACTGCTTGTAGTGGGAAACTAAACTACTGGCCTGATAAAGCTCAAATTCCAGTATCTAGAATACGTGAAATTGTCCTACAAAGCTGTGACCCCCTCAGCACAAAGAATGTATGTGATGTATACGTGTGATCCTTTGTTTTTGATCCAGTTGCAGAAAGATTTGGAAGAGGTTAAAGAGCTGCTCACAAATGCCACTAGGAAGAGGGTGCGTGATGTCCTTGTGGCAGAGAAACAAAAGCTGGAGCTGGAAATTAAGAATCAGCCTCCGCCAAAGCCAAAAGATGTGGCAGAGGAAGAAAAGTCATCTCTGGGAGGGTACACAGTGAAGATAAACAATTACGGTAGGATTGTTTTTCTAGAGTTCTAGCATCTCTCTGAAGAGATGGTAGAGTGGCATTACTAGGAATTAGCGTTGCCACTTAGCATCATAGTGAAGCTTTAATTGTTTATTCCACATCTCCAGTGTTTATTCCACACTGGAGACCCCACTTTAAAAGCTGCCACATTTTACTTGCCATCCAAACCCGGTGTGTATTGATCGTGTTTGTGTGGTAGCCTTTGGTGGGATGCATTAAGTATTCTTACTGTATCAGCTGGTATTTTTCCATTGCTTAGTGTGTAGCAGGAATATAAGAGTAAGTCTTGGCTTCTCTGCTCCCCAAGTAGGTGAGAGGAGAGGGAATTGCTCAAGATGCAGGGAGTAAGGGAAGAAGTGGGTCAAGGAAACTGCAGCAGGAGCAAACAGCTGGCTCTGACTCCCCCTGCACAGCCTGGGTGGCTCTCTTTTGACCTGACCTGATACTTGAGTTTTCTCAGAACTTGCAGGGATTAGGGAACAGGGCTACATGGGCGGGGGGGAACATCCCTTTGCTCTCAAGTTATTCCTTTTATTGCCCTGAAAATTGCTTCAGTAAGGAAAAGACCCTAGTTCTAGGGGACTTTGTGGGGGAAGTTGGAGTGCATAAAGCTTAAGGAGGAAAGGTAGAACTTAATCTCTTTTTTTCGCTTCCAGGTTGGGATCAGTCAGATAAGTTTGTTAAGATTTACATCTCTTTAAATGGTGTCCAGAAGCTTCCAGCTGAGAACGTGCAGGTGAATTTCACAGAGAGGTGAGTTCATCTTGTAGCACAACAAGAACAGTGAAATGCAGGAGTGTTGGATCAGCCTTTTTTTCTCCACACCCTTTTTCATTTTTATGAACTTCAGTTGTATTAGCTTTTAATAGCACTTGAGGGTTTCAGAGTGTTTTC